CCACATAAAGGCGAAGTTTATGGCGAGAACGATTGTAAAGAACTGGTACTATAATAAATCCTAATACATTCAACTTGAAATTTCCATATGTGCAAAGAAAATGTTTAGACTCATGTAAAGAAAAGGATGATAAGTCTCTGTTGAAAGTGGATTCAGAAATGATGGAAAGTGGGGAGCCAGTATCAACTTCAAAACTAATGTTCTTCTTATTAATAGAAAGAGTGAGAATAATAGGTGGAACTGGTGTGGAGACATCTTGAATATTGAAAAGATTTAAATAAGATGAATTATCTATCTCTAAGTAATCATTTGAATCTTTGTCAGTATGAGATAGTTGGTGTATGCTCACATGAGAATGTTTAGTTTTTCCACAAACCCTTGCAATATGACCAAGAATGCCACATTTATTACAGGTAAATGTTCTAAATCTACAATTCTCACGGGAATGATTTTTGCTTCCACAAGATTTACAGATGTAAGTACTGGTTTTCTTTGTTTCAAACTTAGTTTTATCTCTAGGACTATTCTCACTAAACTCCTTCTTTCTGTTAGAGAACTTTGTGGAACGAATTTTAAAACAATTGTTTTCGAGTGGCAATTTATTGAAACGACCTGCATCAATCAGAGCTTGTTCCATAGCAATAGCATAATTGATCGCTTTCTGGAGGTCTAATTCCGACTCATTTTTAGCAAATAGATTTGAACGAATCCTAGGGTCGTACAAGCCCGATACGAATTGATCTCTTAAACGTGAAGCAAGGGAATCTCCAAAATCACACTTTTCACTTAATGATTTTAACCCGACTATGAAATCATTAATCAGTTCTCCTTCTTTCTCTACCCGGCAAGTAAAATTTGCTCTCTCAGAAATTATACTAACTGATTTATTTTTATGAGATCTCATTATACTTTTTAAATCAGAAAATGTCTTCGAAGAAGGTTTATCTGGTTGACAAAGGTTCCTTAACAATTTATAAGCCACCGGTCCCATTTGACTAAGAAGAGTAGCCACCATTTTTCTATCGTCGGTGATATTGGACGCTATAAAGAATTCTTCCAATTGTTCAACATATTCATCTCAATCACTATTTACGTTGTACGGGTTAACGTTAATCGCATTTGCCATTTTCGAATAAAGGAAAGAAAACAATGATAATAAGCAATTCGGTAACTTACGGGTCGAGGGTTCAAAGTCTAGCTGAAGATAGTCATGTGTTGACTTCGTCGAACTGGTCGAGAAAAAATAAATAAACGTCAGTATTCTTGAATAAAATTGAAGAAATATATTATCTTTAATCCACCTCGTTGCCAGAATTGGTGTGTATTGTCGTCAGAATTAGATTACGAAAGGATGAAAACGAATTCTTATGAACAAGTATAACAACCACGTCTTTATTGAATGAGAACAGTACAGAACTGACTAGGTGCGCAGGCGCGCTACGAACTATATATATTAAGAGTTGCCAGGGATGGCGCTGCAATACATAGCAATATTTAGTCGCAAAACTGACCTTGCCCACGACCTTTGGTCAGTTTCGAATTGTCATCAGGTGACAAGTAGACACCAATGGAAGGGTGGCTTTAATGGAAAAACTTATAAAACTGCGCGTTTCAAGGATGGGTCATTCTTGGTTCATAGTGCTCCTCTCTTGGATTTTGTGCTCCCGTCCTTCAACAACAAAAGCTTGTTTGATGTCCCAGAATTTGTCTTCATTATCCTGTCCCATCAAGATTCACCCAAGTATACCTAGTCGTCGGAAGTCATCTCTGCAAGCTGTGCTGTGTGCCCCGGGGCCATCGCTCTCCACATCACCTTCATAGGAAGAAAAGAAACGATCATCATAAAATTTGTACTTTTGAATGGACTTATTGCCCACCTTTGGGATAAGCATTACACCTCATTATAAGAACAGTTGTAAGAAAATTTATACTGTATAAATATTAAACAGTTTTAAATGGTAAACCTGACTCAGTAAGTCTTTCCGCTCCCACACGACAGTGTTGACTGCTCGATTGTCGTGAAACTTTCCACCCAATCTGCTAACCTCACAATTACACAAGAGCAGTGGCATAGCTACATATTCAGTGCCCTGGAGCAAGTGGAATTGGTGCATCCCCTGTTCCTTGAAAGAGGTCTTGCAAAATTTGTTTTGAACATTTAGTTTAAAAACATACATCTAATTATTTTGATTTAAAATCTTACTAAGTAACAATTTATTTGAGGTTCAAGGCATTTCAACAATAAGATATTTAACTTAATAAATACAAATATAATAATAAAATATAATATAATTCTTTAGATACAGAGTACCTAATAATATTTACTATGTATTATATAGACTGTATTTGTCAATAATGTATGCAAATTTAGTTTCATAACATAAACATTACAACACACAAAAAAACTTCAAAATTGTTTCTTCTTGTTTTTTCATTTGCAAATTGGTCAATTACTTTCTCCAGATCAAGTTGACAAGCTGTTGTTTTTTTAATTGATATAGTAGCCAATGAGATAAGGCAGTATTGTGACATGCTGCTTTTTAAATACGTTTTGATTAATTTTAGTTTTGAAAAACTTTCTAACTTGGCACACCCTCATGATTCATGTGCCTAGAGCAGTCTGCTCCAACTGCTCTGCAATAGTTACTCCACTGTACAACAGCCAAAACCTGACAAAATAACTTTGAGATAGATAGATAATTTTTTAAATACAATGCAAAAACCTATTTAATTAATTTATAAATTTACAAAATCTTTCAGTGATTACTGTACATTATTACAGGAGATTGTTCAGTTAAATCAGAATTTATTAATTTGATGTTAACTTATTTCAATATATCAATTTAGTGCCAAAGAATAATAAAGTTATGTAAACAGTTTAATTTTCATTATGTGTTATTGCATAAAATTGTTTATAACATTTAGTGTGTTTATATCTTCTTTTTATTTAATTATACAACATATATTCAAATATGTGTGTTAGGCTGATGATTTAGTAATATATCATTCTAAATATCATTTATATAAATATTGTATTTTTATTTATTAGTTTCTTTTATAAATGTTTAATTATAATGCCATAATGTCAAATGTATATATAAGTAACCCAGTTGAAGAGGGCTGTTGAACAAGCCAAAATTTATTCCAGGATATGTTGTGTTAATTGAATAAAAATCGAAAAAGGTTTGTGATGAATCTGTAATTATAACAGTAATGCCATGAGGTCCGTAGTTATTATTACTAATTAATCATTCTAAACCATTTCAAACAGGTCACTAAACTGATATGAATATAAGTAATATAAAGCTTACTACTCAACAGTAATTTAATTTAAGAAGTTCTTTCATCTTGTTAAACGTCAAAGATTCTTCCATGTTAATTTAGACTATAAAGCAATATAAATAGTGGTGTGTTGGTAAGTTTTTAACAACTGGTTCACTTCGGGGATGTGGGAGAGAGTTACTGGAAGAAGAATAAATGGGTGTAGAATTAAGTTCCAAACAGCAATTTGGTTTTCACTAAGTCTTTTCCAATTTATGGCATATTCTGGTCCATGGCCAATCTATGAGTTGTACTTAGTCACAATTTTACAAAAGGTATAGCATCCCAATCTTTTAATTTTGTAATACAACTAATCAACAGTCAGTAAACTTATATTGGAATTTATTTTAAAATAATTTTCTTTTATTCATTTTTAAATATTTTTTTTTTCATTCAAGAGGAAAATTCTATGAAACTAAATTTAGAAAAATTTTTCTTAAAGAGATATGAAAATGTTAAATGTTAAGTTTATAAAATCTATCTTCCCATCTTCTTCTTCAAGTGTGTTCCTGTATGATAAGTTCCATAAAGCAATTTTGTAGTTTTTTCCCAAAGAACAGAGAAAGAACAAGAGCAACCAAGTATTAAATATATGATTGTTTTGTAAAGTTCAACTCAGCAAACAGAGATTATATTTTTATTGTTTTCTGAAATATAAATAGAAGGTATGGCTTTTAATATGTAAAACACAGTTTATCATTCATCATCAATCCATTCATGAAGAGTTTAACAATTAATTCACTAAATTTGAGAAACCGAAACAACCAGCTCGTGTGAGCCAGTTCCAACACACCTCTGAATATAAAAATTAAACAAATATTAAAATTGCCTTTAAATAATTTCAAAAAACATTGTAAGAAAACTCTACCATCTAAATTCAAAAAAATTTATGCATGCATTAGAACAATTTTAAAAATCAGAAGTATAAATGTGTGTGCATGTGGAATAAAATAATTAATAAATGCTTATTGCACACAAAATACATTAAAATCAAAAACTGAAGTCTACGTAACATTCAAACTATGTATTAGCACATTTTCTCCGGTTATTCTAGTAATCTTCCATAAGCAGTTTCTTAATTAAAGATGAATGATGTGTTTGGAAGTTAGGTGCTCATGACAAACATTGGAAAAATATAGTTAATCTTGCATTACAATTTCAATTTGCCAGAAGTGTGATTAATTTTTTATACTCTGACCAACATCATCTTGTGAAATTTTCAAACATATCACTAAACTAAATATTAACATCAATGGCATAAATCTTATTACCCAGTAGGCCTACTAAGCATTTTTACAATTTAATAGTTATGCTGCTTTTAACCTAAATTAATGTGGAGAAATCTAAAGATGTCCTCTGAAAGACCAAAAGTACTTACAAAACAAAATTTGTGTTTGATAGTATGATTGATATTATTGAAACTTACTTGTTTTTTCAAATTATTTAAGATTGACTACATGAAATGACACATATGAGCTTTCTGTTTCATCTCATTGATGTTATGCCTGTTGTCAATATATGTAGCAATTTGAACAAACCAATGCATGAACTCCAACAGGCAGCAATCAGATTCTTTTTTAACTGTATCATTCTGTGTGTGATCATGCAATATTTTTTATTTAAAATTATTATTTCCTGTCTTATTGTTTATAATAAATAAATTTTCAAATTATATTTAGGTTTCCTAATAAAACTATACCACGTTGGCATTTTGGTGATTTTTTACATTCGTTTATGATCGTGTTTCGTGTTTTATGTGGAGAGTGGATAGAATCGATGTGGGGATGCATGCTTGTTGCAGAATGGCCGTGCGTTCCATTTTTTTTATCTACAGTTATAATTGGCAACTTAGTGGTATGTAGTTTTAAAGTTTTTAAATTTTGTTTAGAAATTTAATTTAGACAATAGAAATTCTTAAGCAGTCTAATTTAATTGAGTATCCAAGACAGATATGATAAAACTCTGCTAACATTATTTATTTACATGAAGCATTCTGAATTTCAACAGTTAATTGTGATTAAATAATAACCTCTCAAAGCCAGAGTAGTATACTATAAATCACCAAACGATCGCCTAAATATCGGGCTATTTAGCCCGATATTTAGGCGATCGTTTGGTGATTTAATTGTGATTACCTTTATAATTATAATTTTATATGTGGTTTTATACATTGGGAATGATTTATAGTGGTTCCCACCAGAAGAGCATCAATACCAACCAGAAAACCCGGGTATTCTTTATAACCTCCTCTTCTATCATACTAAACTTTTTGATATTCTTCTTTCCTCTTTTAGTTATAATTTAGTATAAGCATTAGTTGTAAGATTATCCGGCCATCTTTTCTTAATTGTCATGAGTGGGTTCTCTTGATTTGTATTTACTCGATTCCTTGCACCTGTTTTGGATATTCTGTAAAACTCAGAGTTGGAATCCATAAAAGAATCCTGTATATTACTATTCACATGAAAATAAATAAATAATTGTTGTTATTTATTCGTGTACTGCCTTTTGTGGACCATTGTTCACTCGTGTGATTTTCAAACTATGTAAGTTGTGTTTTCAGTCAGCACATACTTATGAACTATTTTAAATCGAGACTTGGTAAGAAGTTTCCTTTTGCAGCTCAGCTATCTTGAAAGCAAAAACAAAATTCGTTTTTGGAGTATAATAGAGGAAATCGAGTTATAAACAGGTTAGAAAATTCCTTTTAGTAACCTTAAATTACAAATGGAATGACTCATCACCAACTGCACTGTTTTTTCACTATGGTATGGGGTGAGAGAATATGGAATTTTAGGAAAATTAATATCACATTAATTAAGAGGTTTTTACTGAAATACCGTAAAAAAATTAATTACCGGTAAATTTACTGGTAATGCAATCACTAGTTGTCAGTAATAGAACAATACAGTATATATTTTTGCTATAAAAAAATACAGTAATACCCCGACTTACGCAAATCCGGAGTTACGCGATTTTCAAATTTCGTCGATTCGTCTTTTGTTTGAGCGCCACGCAACTCTTAATTACTCATTTCCCCCCACACTATTGTTCGGCTTACATGTTCGGACATGTTCGACATATAGCTACAATTTATTTTGTGTTATTTGTATGTATTTATATGCAAAATTATACCCCGACTTACGCGAATTCGACTTACGCGGTTATCGCTCGGTCCCACCTATCGCGTAAGTTCGGGGTATTACTGTATATAATTTTATAATATAGTAATTTAGTCATTTATGAACAAAGATATTCAGTATTTTTCCCCATTTGATCACAAAGAAAATATTTTTTGATAAGGTACAAAGTAATTAAATATCATCACTGCATTTAAAGAATTTTTATTTTGAAATTTTGAGACACATCAGCAGAGTGTATCGCATATCTGTGTTGGATTAATGTTTGAAAAATTTATTTAAGTAAGTAATTAGTTATTTCTTTTTTACAAACAAAGGTGCTGAATTTATTTCTTGCCTTGCTTTTGTCCTCCTTTGGTGCCTCAAATCTTTCCCAGGCTTCACCAGAAAGTGCTGATACAAAGAAACTGCAAGAAGCTTTCGAGCGAATAGGAAGAGCTATCAATTGGGTAAAAGCATGCTTCTTACAAATCCTAAAGGTATGTAAAATACTTTTCTTATATTTCTAATTTTTTAATGAAATGTTTCAGTATCAGTATTTTCATTCATAAAAGTCACTCAAATATTTACATTGAATAATATATAGCTTTATTTAAGAAATTTTCTGCCACTTTTTATGTACATCTAATTCAGTTTTTACATTGTTCATAGCTCCCAAAAAATTTGTATCGTATAGCAAATTAAATCATTACATTAACTCTTAACAGCTATCATGCAGTCTTGCAGATCTTTCAACATATTTCTTGTTACTTTCCCAGTTGTTGTATATAACAGAGGAAAAGTATGACAATCCAGCAAAAAATGACTTTCTCCTGATTTTTACATTTTTGGACTCGGGACACCTTGATAAACGAGAAATGAAAAAATTTAGAGGTATTTCTGTATGTATGGGTATGTGTATGTGGGGGGGGTGCACAAAAATTTTGCAGAGAGATTTCTTTATTAGGGGGAATGGGGTTATCAAATTTTGATGATTAAAAATCGAGGTGGTGGGGATATAATGAGGGTCACATATATCTCCAATAGGGTCAAACTTAGTGATGATTTTGATGTTTATTGGCATTTACAATTTTTTATAACAACCATCCTTACCCTTACAATCAAGCTTTTTGACTTTTTATAATAGTTAAAAATATAAAAAGTTTTTAATAAAATAGGATAACAGGTGGTGCCACTAAATGTTGCCAGGAAAGTTAACCAACTTGTTGATGGATTGCTTTTTCTTGGAACCCAAAGGCTCCAAACAATGTTTTAAGCAGGCAATCCAGAATACAGTACGAAAATTGTTGATTGTCTTCACTCTGCTGTGACGATTCATCTAGATCAGGTGCATAATTCACTGATTCAAACCACATTGTTTTACTGGAAGGGACCTGCTTCTAGTAACAAGTCCCCTTTCACATTGAATTCAAAGCTTTGTAATCACATATACAGTACTGTCTTTTAAGTAGATTCATACTTTAGATGAAACTTTTAAGTATTTTATGATAATAGAAATACAAAACTTATGATCAATACAAAACCTTCCTCACTTGTTTCTAGCTGTTTATACTCGTGTATAAACGGCTAGAAACAAGTGTGAGATCAGCCGGGGGTACAACACCGTTTAGGATCGTTCGTACCACTTAATCGGCACTATTCCGCGAGAATAGATCTCCAAGGTTTCGAATCGTAAGATCCGATCCAAATCTATTTCATAGGAGAGCTATTAAAATGTTGATTGGATATAGGCGGCGAAGACTATATCTAACGTCAGGATTCCTTGACACCAGTTAATCATTTATTTTACACGCGGATTAACACGCGTATGCGATCTGATTCGGAATGAATTGAGGAGACATACTTATATATTAAAACAAGAGTATATTTAATAAATATCAAACAAACGAATACAGAAAATCAATAACAACGATTATACGACAAGTTAAAGGTTACGACTTAATCTATGCTAATGCGCGTTCGAGAGAGAGCTCACAAATGATTCTAAACATACGACCTGTTAGTTGTCGTCTTCTTTTCTGTTAATATAGGACACCTTGTAGATAGGGTTCATATTACTTTCGTATGGGAGATCAATTCGTGCACAAATATATAAATATCACTTCTACGTATAGGCCTGGAACTTAGTCTAAATGACTCGTATAGGGTGTTGGCCTTCTGGAGGGAAACGTATGTGGAGTTTGGATGCTTCGGATCTGTCGAAGAACTCCTCGAATTCTGACTAATTTCTCCTTTTATCTCAAAATTTCGTCCAATCATCGTTCAGTAACTCTTTCGTGAGAACGGATGAAAGGGGGATGAATGAGGGGTAACCATTTCCCATCTGAGCGAGATTTTTAACGGATAAGGGAAAAACAGCGGATGTTCTCTTCTGTGGAAAGGAAGTGTCATCTGTCATCTATTTTTCCCACGTCTAAAACACCAGTTTTTTCACACAAAATGAAATAATATTTTGTCGATAATTTAAACATATTAATAAAAATTCATAAATGAGGCCCAGGGGCCTTTCGGATCTCACATTAGTGAGGAAGGTTTTGTATTGATCATCTTAAAATAGTTCTAGCTACAAATGCATAGAAATACAAAACTTACTAATGCAATGTTATTTTCAATAAGAACATAAACAAAATCTCTTATTACTGAACACCTGAACATGCACAAAACACAACAGTATGACAGGAATATGTGTCTTCAAGCTAGTCCTGTTGATGATTCAACTAAAGGATCCCTGAGGGGTGTTCAGGTGGTTCACAGAAGAGTTGAAATCAGTGTAAAGGAGGAGAGGCTGAGTGGGAAAAATACACAAAAAAATACATATATTTCAAATAAAAGATTTCAAATACAAATGCATTAAAAATAATATTTACATGGTTCCTTGAGGAATGTAGCCTAGTCCATTCTCAGCATGCCACTGGTTGTATCTTGTGTGGTATATGCATGTGGTGAAAAAGGAGTCGAACAAAGAGATATAATGAAACAAATTAATTTATTTAATTTTTCACCAGTATTCGATAATTTTACAGGATTTTTGTTTGGATTCCAACAACTCCTTGGACAAAAGGTTTAAAATGTTAACACTCAGAATCATTAACTCGAATTTGCGCGACAAAGGAATGATTGAAAATACGCGGCATTACAAAATTTAACACAAAAAACTTATAACTAATTATCTAAGAACTACTTATTCTATAGGGAAAGATGAAAGGATTAGGTGATAGGATAGATCTGATCATGAATGGGTACCCAACTTAGCTAGTGGCCTTGTGATTGCAGTAGTAACTTACATCTTCTTTCTGCTGAACAGCATGAAGTCTGATGTATGTAGTTTTCAAATTTTCTATTCCCTTTTCTGGTTTTCCGTTAAACTTCTGGAGGGGTTCTCGTGTTAAAATACTACTGGGACTCTTCTCTAGTGTCTGCTACCTTAGGCCTATCGGCTCTTTCGCTCTTCCTGACGACAAGAAATCGACTTGAAGACCTCCACAAAAATACGTCCTTACAGCTCAAGATCTAAACCAAAAGTGACCCCTCTATCCCCCTTTTAGCACGTCCTGCTCCTTTTGTCTTACAATCAGATAGTCACCACCCACAGAGAGAAGTTTTCAGAAGGGAGAGGACAAGGGAACAAAGGATAGAAGAAGAAGGGGAAATGAAATATATATATACATACTTACAAATACATTAAACAAAATTATGGCATACGACTGCACTTGGTCAACATTGGCTCCAATGTTGGATTGGGCATGGAGTGTCTTTGTGTGGCTTCCCCAATCTTCAGACATGACAACTCTGGTTTTCTTTCTTTTGGAATTTCTTAAAGACAGTTGTAGAATGCCCCATAGAACAAAGTCTGTGGGACTAGACAAAAAAAGCAGACAAGTTGGCTTGACAAATATACTGGGCTTTTAATCCTTTCTTGTTGACAAATCACAATATATACATAGAACACGAACTATCATGCAATTGACAATTTTCAATGCATGACTAATAACAATATGATAAATACTTCACATGTCACGTTCCCCTCTCTTTCCTCCTCTCCTTTCAGGGGGCTCACGGCACATGACAAAAATCAAAAGGCACGTAACAGAAATAAAAATAAATCTACTCAAGAAACTTTTTCTACTGCGTATAAACAATGAAAAAGAAAGCTAATACATTCAGGCGAATCTCCTACCAATCTTGTTTTACTCGAGTATGTTCTGTCTCGATGTTAAAGTGTCCTTGGTTGGATGGAAATGGATTGCTGTCTCATCGGCCTTTTCCCCAGTCCTTGGTCCTCTCATGCTCACCACCTTGATCTCATATCATTCACAGGTGGCCAGAACAAAGCAAGAGGGGGAAAAAAGTTCCTTACCAAACATGGAACACGATTTTTTATACTGTTCCAAGCAGATATCCTTCCCATGTGATCTCCGCTGGCCAATCTGGCTGCCAACATAAGGTGAGCTGGAAAAAGGTGGTGCCATGAACGAAAACAAATGGGTCGAGGGAAGAACCAAAATGCAAAAATACATAGTCGCGAAGCATTACATAGTGTCTATCTATATCCACCCAGTGCCACCAACAATTAAATGTTTGCATTGAATAATGTTGCAAGTGCCAAAACAGCCAAACTGAAATTTTTATAATAAATTATGTACTGCAAAATGATGCGGTAAATTGTATCTTTATTTTAAAAAATCTGACTAGTTACTATGAAAAATGCTTCAAACTTATCAACTGCATGGAAAAATGTTACACGTGCATAAAAAATTATGGACAAAGAGAAATTCTCATCTCTTTGAAGCTGCAAAAGAAAAATTTGGGAAAGAGGAGGATCATCAACCTACAAATTGGAATCAAAAGAATTTTTTGTCTGATGACGATGAAATACATCGTCAAAAGTACTCGCACGTACCGTACATTTTATTTTTAAACATGTTATTAATGCCAAAAGACAGTTTAGTGCAGGGATGAGCAACATGCGGCCCGTTAAACATGTTTATGCGGCCCGCCAAGCATTTTTTAAAATTGAATTTATTTTATCGACTTTCTCCCATCAATATATTGTTATAAAATTAATTATAATAAAATGGTAGTACATACTAAACCAAAACAATTTTTTGTGACGATTTACTCACTTGTGGGCGACTTGTTCAAACATGCAATACGAACGCGCCGCGTCTGTGCTTTTTTGTGTTTGTTTCTGTCACACAATCAGTCAGACTGGTAAGCGTTAACTAGCAATTTTAGCAATTCTTGTGTTTCTTGAAAGGCGTGAGTGCAATATTATTGTCAAAAAGGTAATATTAGAGTTTTTTTATTCAAAATTAAGTTTTCCTACAAATTTTTTTAACTTTCAAATTTTTAATCCATAATAGCATGTCGGAAAAGCAAACAAAAAAACGGAAGGTTGCGGATGAGCACAGGCATTTCCAAGAAAAGTGGAAATTTGATTATTTTTTCACTTTCGTCGAAGATAAAGCTGTATGCTTAATATGCTCAGAGACTGTGTCGACATTAAAAGAATATAACATAAAAAGGCATTACGATACAAAACATGAACAACAATATAAAAACTTAACAGGACAACTCCGGATAGATAAGTTTAATCAAATGGAGAAAAACTTGGGAAAACAACAGGCTATTTTTAAAAATCAAGCTATTTTATCAAATACGGCAGTAAAGGCTAGTTTTGTTGTCAGTCAAATACTGGCAAAAAAAATGAAACCCTTTGCGGATGGAGAGATGATAAAAGAATGTCTGACTGCTGTTGCAGAAATAGCATTTCCTGATAAAATAAATATTATTTCAAACATTAGTTTATCAAGATTCACCATTGCAAGGAGAATTGAAGACTTGTCCGAGAACATAGCAACAACGCTTCGTGAACGCATTGCAAAATTCGAATACTGTTCTTTGGCACTTGATGAGAGTTGCGATATTAGCGATACAGCACAACTGGCTATATTTTTACGTGGTATTGACACCAAATTTAATATTACCGAAGAATTGTGTTCACTGATTCCAATGCAAGGGACTACAACCGGCAAAGACCTGTACGATGAACTAAAGTCTGTGTTGGAAAATTTTTCAATTTCATTAGAAAAGATTATTGGTATATCGACAGATGGAGCACGAGCAATGTCAAGCATGGAGGTAGGAGTATCGGGAAGGCTATTTCAAGACATTAAGAAGGTCACAGGAAGGGAAATATTCGTTAACCACTGCATAATTCACCAGGAAAATTTGTGTGCGAAAAGATTGAGTTTGCCAAATGTCACAGTACCAATAATTAAACTAATCAATTTTATAAAGTCGCGCGCGTTAAATCACCGTGAATTTAAAGAATTCCTGAAAGATTTAGAAACTGAATATGGCGACGTGGTTTTTAATACCGAAGTACGTTGGCTTAGTAGAGGTGCAATGCTAAAAAGAGTATACAACTTAAAAAGCGAAATACAATTGTTCTTGGATATGAAGGGATATGCCTTTCCTCATTTTGGTAATAAAGAATGGATGTGCGATTTTGGGTTTCTTATCGACATGACTCAGCATCTCAATGATCTTAATGTGGAACTTCAAGGCAAAGGACAGTTTATTCACAATTTGTATGATAAAATTCAGGGCTTTGAGCGCAAATTAAAATTGTGGAAACAGCATCTTTTGCAGAATAATGTGTCTCACTTTCCACATTTAGAAAAAGAAAACGTTACTACTTCTCAAAAATACGCACAATATATAGACATTTTAATCAACGAATTTCAATTACGATTCCAAATGTTCAAAGCTGAGAAGACAGCGGTTTCCATGAAAATGTTTTCCTCGCCATTTAATATCGATGTGGATACAGTTCCCGAAGACTTTCAAATGGAAGTGATTGACATGCAGAATAATACCGATTTAAAAAATGTATTTTTCTCAGTAAACATCGAAAATTTTTATAAATCTTATGTGAGCCCTGAGAAATTTCCGCTTTTGACGAAAAATGCAAAGCAAATGATGTCTCTGTTCGGAAGTACGTATGTTTGCGAACAATTATTTTCAACCATGAAATTAATCAAAAATGACCACCGATCAAGACTGAGTGATGCACGATTAGAAAGCTGCGTACGTGTAGCTACCTCATCAATTCCGGCTGATATTGATCAGCTTGTATCGAAAAAACAGTGCCAAATTTCTCATTAAAAATTTCAAGTAAATTCGTTTTTCTGTTCTTTTCTTGTTTGTTTTTATTTTGCATTAAAATTTGTATATGAAATCTTTACTTTTTTTAAATTTTATATTTTTTTATTCTAATGTTTATTATAAATAAAGTTTTGTAAATTATTAATAATAAGTGTTACTTTATGTGCGGCCCGCCAAAAAATTTTAGAATTTAAATTGGCCCGTTGATTAAAAAGGTTGCTCACCCCTGGTTTAGTGTATTATTCTTGATTATAAGAAATCAAAAATGCAGAGGGAGGTCAGGAAATAAATGTTGGTTATACAGTGGACAAATTAAACCAGCTATAAAGTCCCAAGTGAGGTCAATGGAATAATGTTGCACGCACCATACTTCAAATTTCACAGCATGGAGCATACAATAAAGAATTTTCTAAAATCTTTTTGTGAGGCCTGAACATCTAAAAATTACCTTGGTGATGTGGATTCAGATTACATCCAATGACCCTACTTTCATTAGAATAATGTGCTCCCATGATGTTTTGCAGCCATGACATTGCACTTTCCTTACTGTTGTCTAAGAGAAGTCATACGCATAAGAAAGTTCTGAATCGCTACTGTCATTCAGAACATCCATGTGCATATAGTAGACCTCTCTTCCTATAAAAAGTGCCAAAAACAAAAATCTACTGTGCATGTTCAAGTTTCTCAGTTCAAAAAATGTAGACTTTTACAGTATAATGAAAGCAATGATAATGACTATATCAAAATAAAGCATAACTTTCTATTTGACAATCTATTTTTTTATTAAAGGAATTTTTATGTTTGGCTGCAAGAGCTATGTTACAAACAACATTTTTCCATTTGCACATTTTTTTTTGTTAAGTGCTCCACAAAACATGCAGCTTATAAAATGCTGTGTCATAAATAAGAAAGCAGGCATCAGTTACAAGAGACATACGTACTTTAAAGGCAGAACTTTGCTTTCAAACCAAAATATATTAAACTTTTAAAATGCTGCATGCAACATGTGCACATACAATTTTTTTCCATTACACAGAATGCTTTATTGTCATTTTCTAAAATATTTTGCAATGAAAATGACCCAATTTTTTGTAGCAGTGTCATTCCTACACTTGTAACACTTACTTTAATTGTTCCAGTGTAGTTTAGAGGTTTTCCAGTTTTACATTTTTTCTGGTAATGCTACTTTGATGCTTGCAATGTTATTCAATTCTAAAATGACCAAATTTTCTCAACTTTAACCCAGAATGCTCTAAAAATTGAAAGTAGGAAATATAGGGTGTAAGGTTGTTATTTGAATGATTTTGTTGCTTAATAACAGTATTGTCTATATCAATCACTAATATTGCAGGGCATTTTATTTTTGGTACAATTAAATGAAAATTTAGTACTAAAAAACAATGAATTAAAATTTGCTTATTTCTTTGGCTTTTAAAATGATATATAAATGCATGAAGATAAAAACATTAAAAAATAGATTATTTTTGGGTGAGATATGTTTTTAGAATTTGGGTAAGATATCACAAACTCGTCCACGGGTGGTTTGATATACGATCTTACATTATGAAAATAATTTTATAACATTATATTTAATACATATTAAATTTCATTGTATGATATATGAAAACATGTCAAAAATGTTTATGCTTATTAGTCTAATAAATCCTAATTCTAGTCCAACCAATATAATTACATCGTTGGTCTGGAATCAGGACAGTTAGTGCTTAGTGCAGGATTTACGTAACAGCACTGTGCTTAGCTGCATCTCTACATAAGTAACGTTGTGGTAATTTACTGAGATGGAATATTCTATATATAGTACATGTTAAAGGAGAAATTTAATCTTTTTAATATGAACGATTTATTATTAAACAATTTCTTGCCTGTATTCATCTATATAATGAACTATTTACTTATAAACCCAGGATGTCTGGTCACTTTATTCAATGCAAGCCTTCAATTGAAGAGTTGAGGCAATGAGAAAATGATTACTGCGCAAAAGTTGACCCTGAGATTCTACCTTTTGTGAGGCAGATTGAATATTGACATGATGCCATTCAAGCTACTTGTAGTGCTCACATTGAACTCTACTAGCTTCTGTATATAAATAAACTTTTTGTGTTGCTCTTTTAGCTTGTATGTGTGTGTGTATCTTGCAGACTGGCCAAGTAATAAATTTTCAAAATTAAAAAGAACATTTATAGACAACCTGTATTTTAATTCTAGTTAATAAATCAGAAGAGAAACTATTTTAATTTACATATCAGTAAAATTTAATAAATTCATATTATTTGTGCACATTTTTATTGGCTGCAATTTAAAAAAATTGTAGACCTATAAATTCCCACTGTTGTCAATCTGTCCAGCTGTCTTTCCTTAATCTTGAGAATGGAGTTAGATAGATGAAAGAGAATACCAGATATGGAAGCCTTATGCAGGAGGCCCCAATTAACTATACTGTATATGAACTTCTAAAGCAAACTGGAAGTCACGTTATTTCAATTAACCTGTTCATAGCGTCGACATCGGGCTCGATGACCAATTAGTGCTTACAGAACCGTAGCGCTATGCAAATGTGATGTGGTGTGATTCCCGGCCGACCAATTAGCGATCACCAGCTGTAACGTTATGCAAATCTGTGATTCCCAAGCCATTGTCTTACGCAAATCATGCCTTGTGGCGTGATTGTCTTCCGACCAATCAGTGGCTGTACTTTCAAAAAGTCAATGGTCACTTTCAACCATCTGTCGATGACCGTTACGACTAAAAAACTTTGCTAGGTCTTACTTTCGGGGGGAGGTCTTATATTTCGCAATTTAGCAAAACCTCTGCTAGGTCTTGTTTTCGGAGAAACACGGTAGCCTCTACATTTTTGTCACTCTGAGCAACAAGCAGCTGTTTGACATCCTCTTTCGTTGCCAACAAATCAAATTTCTGAAGCAGGAAATCTGATACGGAATTTTTCCTAATTATCTCTTCGGCGCTCTTCACTAAGGTAATAAATCTAATATGTTCCTCAGTACCCAATTGCTCTTTTGGGTTATTACGGAAATATCTCTTTAAATCCTCAATGGCTTCCTCACATTCCTCCAGAAGTTCTTCAATAGTGCCAATCGCCATCACTGAGTAGAATAACTTTTAAAATTAATAATATGAAGGAATAACATAAGACTTCCGGTAAAAATTCTGGAATCTTCTATGGTAAACGTCATTGACCGTTACTATAACGACAGTTGTAGAAGAAGAATGTTGAAAATTTTAAAAAATACAGTAGAGCGTCGATTTTCCGAAAGTCAATCATCCGAAAGAATTTCAGTCGGCAAATTTAAATTTTCGCCAGTGCTGTGGCGCTTCAATCTTTCGCTATGTCTTGGGCTACTCAAATATTTTACGTTTTTGATACTAAATTAACATCTGAAGTATCATTTTTTATTATTTTTATATTTTTCAATATATTTATTTTGTTTGTACAAAATAAAAAAAATAATTTTTAACGATACAATAGTCTTTGCTAGGCTTAATATCGACGAAAATTTAACGCGAAGCGACACGCAACGGAAAAAAATTTCGACATCGGATACGTTAAACTATTTTTTCGTACGTAAATCAGTTATCCGGACAACCCCAGTCCCCAATTGATTCGGAAAATCGACGCTCTACTGTAATAGAATTAGGATATTTTAAAATCTATTGTACTAATGAACTTCAAATTAACAGGATAATTTTTGTTTGGTATTCTCTAAGAAATGGCCAAATATTGTTTAAAGATAAAAGCCGGAAGCCCGGTACAATCCGCCGAATATAGACCGGAAGTAAACGATAAATCTTTAAATCTTGATCCGAGGACCACAAATTTAATACATGTATTCACGTTATAGATACGAGTAATCATCCATATCATATTCCAGTTAATCGGTGCTGAGAATCTGGTAAATCGAGTCCAAATATTCACAATTTTCAAAAACGAATAACTTTGCAAAAAATTGTCCTGGGTTGAAAAACTTAACGGATTCTTAATCCACACGGAAAATGATATCCAGAAATATGTAACACTTAGAGCTTAAAGTAAAAATTTCAGCAAAAACTCAATCCGTAAACAGAGCAAAATTTTCCTGCATCCATTGACAAGCTCTCCCTGCTAACATCAACAGACCCATACCGCCACCTCGCCCTAATCTCCACCGATCCAGGAACGTTTTCACCAATGGCCATACAATGAGATCGAAGACTAAGGAGGTAATCACATAGAAAATTTTAACCACCCCTCTCTCGCTGGTCTCTCAGTTATAAGCTAGATTAAGGTTAATTTAACTTAGAGAATATTGGACCTATAAAGGCTCCAGAACTTAGACGATTTATTGACACGACAGGTTTAATCATTGTCGCCACTTAGAAATTTCGACTATTTCTATTTGTACAGCTATTCGCTTTTGCATTTGCTTTGTATAATTTTATAGTTTATTAAATGTGTTATATTTGTTTAACCTGTGAAATTATTTGGAACCTGTCGGCTTGCCCATCGAACTCCCCATTCACTCTTAACCCTCCTACTCGTTTACCACATAGACCATGGCCAACACGTAGACCGCGGTCGACCGGTCGACCGCAAATGTTTTGAAAGTAGCCCGCGAAGCTAAAGTTGAACAATTTGCTTTCACTTAAATTAACGTTTAAAAATCTTAATTCGATAATTTATTCTTACAATAATAGACTCTGTGTGACGTACCCATACTGTTTGTATTTATCCCGATGAACAATGCAAATGAATGTGCGCGTATAAAAATCCTAAAATTGTTTGCCCATATTCATAGTCGCCCGCAGACTATATTTTACCAAAAAAGTAGCCCCTAAGGGATAAAAGTTTGGCCACACCTGATATAGACCATCCCTGACAAAGAAGGCGATAAGTGGGGACAAGCTCGGCGCTCTACCTCCTCGGCTTACACATTCATTCAATTCTTCTTTAACTTGAAAAAACATTCATGCAATTCTACATTTAAGAAAACCTGGCTTTGAATGATTGAATTCAAAACTTGGAGCAAGCAGCATTGATTAAAAAGTGCTTTACTAGAGAAGAAACTAAAGTTTTACAGATGTTAGAGATATTTAAAAGAGCCTTGAAGAGAGAGTGCATTAACATATGAGATACATATTTGTTATCATATGTTTGGAAAGTATTTTACGACAACCCTGAAAAAGATTATAACTAAATTAACCAATGGGATGTTAATATAAAATGAAATAGAATCCATTAGTTGTAAAATTTAATTAGGGAAATTTCAAAAATATTTGAAATTTGTATTCAGTTTGAATGTGATAGAGCGAACATTCTAAATGGAACCCTTATAACTGATTCGAAGCAGGACAGTCAAGCCGTTAGAAAACATTTGTCATTTTTAAGATTATCTATATATATATATATATATATATATATATATATATTAGCTG